TAGAGCTAAGCATAAAATATGATTTAAAAAAAGTTAAACTTGTTTTTTTAAAAAAGATTGCTTATTAGTTGTTTTAAAACTTCCACTATATCTTATGAATTTGGTTTGAAATACCTTATAAGAGCTGTCTCTCTCTCTTTGTCTCTCTCTAGGTGTCTGGGGGTAGGGCGATAGAGAGTATATTTCTACATGTGTGCACGTGTGTACAGCTGTATGTGTATGCAGAGGCCAGAGGAGGATGGCATTTGTGTCCTGTTCTGCCCCTCTCTGCCTTATTCCCTTAAGACAGATGGTCCTGAAGCTAGGCTGGCAGACAGTAAGCTCCAGTAAGTCCCGTCTCTCACAGCACTGAGGTGCACTGTTTCTGTGGTACTAGGGATTAATATTCATGTTTGTGTAGCAAGTATTCTTATCCAATGAGCCTCTGGAGCTATTTTCTAAAGTAAGTACAAACATAAGATCTGAGATTTATGTATATCTTGATGTGCAATTTTATGAAATCTCTAAAAGTTAAATTGTCTACTAGTCTTTCAGCCACTGTTTTCCAGTGCTGCGGTCCAATCTAGGGCCTTGCATGTGTTCTATTCCATTTTAAAGTTTGAACAGACCATATCCACCCATAGATAGGTCCACCCATACACAACAGACTGTTCCCAGTGTTAGGACCAAATAAGACAATGATGAAGTGCACAGCAGATTTTACATAAAAGAGGTTTATTAGATGGAAATGAAGAGAGAGAGGAGAGAGTGAGACATGATGGGGAAAGAAGAGAGGGAGCCGAGACAGAGAAGGGGGAGAGGGGGGAGAGGGCAAGAGCCAAGAGCCAAGAGGGCAAGAAGGCAAGACCCAAGAGAGCAAGAGCCAAGAGAGGGGTAAAGTGGCTGGTTGATCCTATTAAGGAGCAACGTAACCTCACCCACCAGGTGTGGCTACCTGGCCAGCAACACATGATGACATCATGGGTTGCTAGGCAACCCAGAAGCAGGCTGCCTAAATACTAACACCTAGGATGGATTTTATGAAAACATAGTATTTAGAGAAAGTAGGATTCCCCCCCCAACGCCAACTGAATTTTTTTAAACTTATTTTTTAAAATTAATTACAGTTTATTCACTTTGTATCCAGTTGTTGCCCCCTCCCTCATCCTCTCCCAATCCCACACTCCCTCTCTCATCTCCTCCCATGCCCCTCCCCCAGTCCACTGATCCTTTCTATCTGACCCTAGCCTATCAGGTCTTATCAGGACTGGCTGCATTGTCTTCCTCTGTGGCTTGGTAAGGCTGCTCCCCCTCAGGTGGAGGTGATCAAAAAGCCAGCCACTAAGTTCATGTCAGAGACAGTCTCTCTTCCCATTACTATGGAACCCACTTGGAGATTGAGCTGCGATGGGCTACATCTGAGCAGGGTTCTAGGTTATCTCCATGCATGGTCCTTGGTTAGAGTAAGTCTCAGAAAAGACCCCTGGGCCCAGATTTCTTTGATCTGTTGCTCTCCTTGTGGAGCTCCTGTCTCCTCCAGGTCTTACTAACTCCCCCTTCTTTCATCTCCCCCTTCTTTCATATGATTCCCTCCACTACGCCCAAAGTTTGGTTGTGAGTCTCAGCCTCTGCTTTGATAACCTGCAGGGTAGTCTTTCAGAGGCCCTCTGTGGTAGGCTCCTGTCCTGTTTCCTGTTTTCTCCCTCTTCCAATGTCCCTTCTGTTTGCCTTTCTGAATGAGGATTGGTCATCTTACCCAGGGTCCTCCTTCTTGATTAGCTTCTTTAGGTGTACAGATTTTAGTATGTTTCTCCTATATTATATGTCTAATATCCACGTGTAAGTGAGTATATACCATGTGTGTCTTTCTGCTTCTGGGATACCTCACTCAGGATGATCTTTTCTAGTTCCCACCATTTGCCTGCAAATTTCATGATTTCCTCGTTTTTAATTGCTGAGTAGTATTCCACTGTGTAAATGTACCACAATTTCTGTATCCAGTCCTCTGTTGAGAGACATCTGGGTTGTTTCCAGGTTCTGGCTATTACGAATAAAGCTGCTACAAACATAGTTGAGCAAATGTCTTTGCTGTGTACTTGAACATATTTTGGATATATGCCTAGGAGTGGTATAGCTGGATCTTGAGGAAGCACTAAGCAAAGGACACTATCATCAGAACAAAACTACAGATTGGGAAAAGATCTTCACCAACCCTGTATCTGACAGAGGGCTAATATCAAGAATATATAAAGAACGGAAAAAGATAAAAAATAACAAATCAATAATCAATTAAATCAATTAAAAATGGTGTACAGAACTAAACAGAGAATTCTCTATAGAGACATATCGAATAGCAGAGAAACACTTAAAGAAATGCTCAACATCCTTAGCTATAAGAGAAATGCAAATCAAAAGGACCCTGAGATTTCACCTTACACCCATCAGAATGGCTAAGATAAAAAACTCAAGTGACAATACATGCTGGAGAGGATGTGGAGAAGGGGAACCCGCCTCCACTGCTGGTGAGAATGTAAACTTGCACTATCACTTGGGAAATCAATCTGGCGCATTCTCACACAGGGGCCTTCTTAAAGACTCTACCCAGTAGAGTATTGAAGCAGATGCTGAGACTCATAGTGAAACTTTGGGCAGAGTGCAAGGAATCTTATGGAAGAAGGAGACAGAAAGACCTGGAGGGGACAGAAGCTCTACAAAGAGACCAACACAGAGCCAAAAAAATCTGGGTTCACAGGGTCTTACAGACTAATGAATCAACCAAGGACTATGCATGGAGAGGACCTAGACCCCTGGCTCAGATGTAGCCCATAGGCAGCTCAGGCTCCATGTGGGTTCCCTAGAAAGGGGAGCAGAGGCAGTCACTGGCATGAACTTGGTTGCCTGCTCTTTGTTCACCTCCTCCTGGTGAGGTGGCCTTCTTAGGCCACAGAGAAAGAGGATCTAGACAGACCAGATGAAACCTGATAGGCTAGGGTCAGATAGTAGAGAAGGAAGACTTCCCCTATTAGGACTAGGGGGAGGGACTTGGGAGTTGTGGAGGAAGAGTAGGACCAGGAAGAGATGAGCAAGAAGGCTATAGCCAGGATACAAAGTGAGTAAATTGTAATAAATAATAATAATAAAGAAAAAATTAAAAAAATAAAATGTTAAAAAGTTCTCTTACAAGAATCACTGAGTTGGTTATTGATATCAACACCTCATTTTCTTTTTTTTTCTTCTTCTTTGTTTTGTTTTTCAAGACAGAGTTTCTCTGTGTAGCGTTGGCTGTCCTGGCTCACTTTATAGACCTGTCCTGGAAGGTCAGGTGTGGGCCAGGCTGGCCTCGAACTCAGAGAGACTTGCCTGCCTCTGCCTCCCGAAGTAACAGGACTATAGTTATGAGCCACTGTGCCCAGCTTCATTTTCAAACCACAATAATCTATAAAACACTGAGAATATTATCCTCTCACTTATATCTTGCCTTAAGACAGAGTCTCTTGACATAGTCCATGCTGGCTCACCTTGAACTTGAAATCCTCTTGTACTAGCCTCTCAAATAGTAGTGTTACTTTAAAACAACCTATAGCATAAGTTTATAAAGCTACTAATATGCTAATGGATATAAAATGATTACAACAGACTAGCATAGTATACAGTATTTCCAAAGCTTTTTTGATCAGAAACACTCTGTCAAGGAACTCTTATGTATGCTTAATTTATAAGTTAAACTTTATTATTGATAATACATTAACAGACGTAGTACATGTGGTACTCAATTGTTTGTGGTTTCAGGAATGACTGGGAATATTGAGATGCACATTTAATACATGAGAAGGCACTACTGCATTTTTTTTTTTTTTTTTGAGAGAGGGTTTCTCTCTGTAGCCCTGGCTGTCTGAGAACTCGCTTTGTAGATTGGGCTTGCCTTAAACTCACAGAGCTCCTCCTGCCTCTGTCTTCCAAGTGCTAGGATTAAAGTGCAACTCCCAGCCCATCCCCGGCCACTACTATATCTTTTAACATGACTGCTCCCATGTTGGAGTCATAGGTTGCACCATATTTAGCTTTGGTTCCCTGGTATACAGTATGATATCAACCCCAGCAGGTGCTCAGTAAGCATCAGTCAAGTGATTTAAAAACAAATTTCTATACTTCTTTTCTGCAGGTGTTGTAAAACAGGGGTTTATACACCCAAGTGAGCAACAGTCACTTGAGTATTTATTATTACTTGAAGTTAAAAGATTTACTGCATATAGAGGCTGTATTTGACTCATGTTAGGATCTGCCATGTTTTAGTTCACTAATAATTTAAAATTGGCAAGACTTTGATAACTGCTTTTTGTAAAAATCACTTGTAGTCCAAAATTAGGTAAAATACCCTTTAAATATTAGTAATTATATAAATTTTTAAAAGCTATAAGAGAAAAGCCTATTATTTCCTATAAATGACAAATATTTAAATCAGACATATATAAAAATAAGACCATGTTGCCCATCACACTTGTATTTCAGTTTGTAGTACAGTGAAACTGTGGTTTAGGAATTTAATCCTGTTAAAACTTAATGTATTTGTTAATGTATTCTTGCACAGGTAATTACCAAGTGCCCAAAAGTGCCTGGGACTGTCCCAGAAACTGTACTATCAAATAAAATCAAGTCCTTCAGAGAGGGGGTATCTAGTATTTTTTTTTTCTTCCTATAAAAGGTTAAGGTAGAAACATTTTTGTGTTCTAAACTACAAATCCTTATTATCTGTAGGAAAGAAAGAAAGGTAAATCTAAAAGCCAATCATCTGTTAAGTATGGTGGTGTACAGTGTCAATCCCAGCACTCAGGAGACAGAGCCAGGCAGATCTCTGTGAGTCTGAGGCCAGTCTGGCCCACATCTGACCTTTCAAGGCTCAATAGTGGAACCCCGTGTCAATAAAAGCCAATAGTTTATAACATGCTGAAAGACTTCTAGCAGGTCTAAATTAAGCTGATTAATATAGAATTTATAAATTTTAAATTTAACATAATGTTTACCTTTGAATTCCTTCAAGAATATCCTTCACAGCTGCCATCAACTTTTGAAGATATGCAAATGCTTCTCTAAATGATGCTAGTTTTGAAGTGGTCAGAGTTGAACTTGAGTCCAGTTTTTGAAACACATCTGTGCTAAAAAAACGGAAAGAAAAGATGCACTTACTTAGGACTTGTAGGTGTTTTCATTCATAACATATAAAAAAAGTAACAATGTGATTAATTTTTTTGCAATGCTTATCTATTTAAATTAGAAATAAATGACTATGACATGAAAGAAGTCTAGGCTAAGATCCACACTAGGAATCTAGGCCACACACCATACTAAAGAAATTAATATATTAAAGGAATTAATATAAAAACTAGGTACATTTCACTCTAAAAAAACACAGAGATGTAGAAGTAATATTATTAACATTCTTTCAAGTGTGCCTCCCAAGTGCTAAGATTAAAGGTCTACGCAACTCCTACCCCATCCCCAACCACTATTATATCACTTAACATGACTGTTCCAATGTTGGAGTCAGAGGTTGCACTACATTTATCTTTGGTTCCCTGGCACCTAGTTTGATGTAAACCCCAGCTGTTAGTCAGTAAGCATCAAGTGATTTAAAAACAAGAACATAAACATGAAGAAAGAACTACGAATCAGATTAAATAAAAAACTGGAAGTTCATCCTTGTAATTCCACTTCCAGAAGGTTATTGTGAATTAATAATTGCAATAGATAATTAGTGAAACTTCTAATGTCTACTTATTAAATTACTAAGATATTTTTAAATGTTTATGTTATATATGAATCAAAAATAAAACTAAGTATTGTGGTGCATGCCTTTAATCCTAGCAGTTGGGAGTCAAAAGCAGGCAGATAGATCTAAGTTCAAAGTCAGCCTGGGCTATGCAGTAAGCTCAGAACAGCCAGGGCTACATGTTGAGACCCTGTCCCTAAATAAATAAATATTTACTTAGGTAACAGTAACCATATTAAAAATCAAAACACTTTGTATCTTAATAGTGTCCTCCAAATTCACATTCATCTAGAGCAGTGGTTCTCTACCTGTGGCTTGCAACCCTTTTGGTGGTCAAATGATCCTTTCACAGGGCTCACCTACGACCATCAGAAAACATAGATATTTACATTATGATTCATAACAGTAGCAAAATTACAGCTATGAAGTGTCAATGATACTAACTTTATAATTGGAGGAGTCACTACAACATGAGGAACTGTATTAGAGGGTCGCAGCATTACCAAGGTTGAGAACCACTGATCTAGGTCTCACTTGAAACAGGGCTTTGGCAAATGTAAATGGTTAAGCTAAAAGAGGGTTGGATTAGAATAAGCCATACCCTCTCCATGAAGACAAAAGTAGAGACTGGAGAGATGCAATTACTAGGCAAGGACTAAGGTTGACCACTGGAAGACAGAAAAGCACAGAGCAGATTCTCAATTAGAACTCCCTCCCGTCTTTTGCTTTTCCAGTTTTGGGTCTTCATTACTGTTCTCAAATGAAATTATAATACTCTAAGAATACATACTTTTATGGTGACTCCTCTGGGAAACTAACACATATGCCTAGAAGAAATGATGGATCTACAGAATATTAACATTAGGTAGTATCATTAAAGAAACACATAAAGCTGAACATCATGGCACACGCCTGTGATGACTATAGAGGCAGGAGGATTTCTGTTGAGTTTGAGATCAGCCTTGCATACATAGCAAACTCCAGGACTAAAGAGAGCCTGCCTCAAGAAAAAAAAAGGGAGGTGGGTGGGCTGGAGAAATGGCTCAGTGGCTAAGAGCACTGATTGCACTTAAGGAGGACCCGGGTTCAATCGTCAGTACCCACAGGGTAGCTCACAACTGTCTGTAACTCCAGGATCTGACAACTTCACACAGATATACATACAGGCAAAACACCAACGTACATAAATTAATTTAAAAAGAATGAATGAACAAAACAAACAAAAAAAACAAACATGAGAGTGTTAAAACAGTCCAAAGTCTAAGTCATGAAATTTTGGAGTCTGTAGACCTTAAAGATCATGTGATCCTATTCTGCCTCAAGATGAACAAACTGATTTTCAGAAAGACTAGTTTTCCTAAAGTCATTGTCTTTATTGTCCCAAGAGGAACTGGTACAATTTTTATGTATCAAAAACACTAAGCCAAAGTGGTTCCCATGTCATTAATCCCAGCAATCAGGAGGCAGAGAAAAGTGAATTTTCCAGGCCAGTCAGGGCTACAAAGTGAGACTGTCTCAAAAAGAAGGAAAAAAGAAAAAGTACCAAAACAGTTTTGTTTGTTATTTTTACATAAAGTACAACATAAAAATATAGATTAAATAAATTTTATTAATATAATTCATTATAAAGTCAGTTGATTCTGGACAGAAACATTTCAAATCAGTTATATGTAAAAGCTGCAATCTACTGTCAGATTCATTAGATTCAACATTATGAAATAAGCTATTCGACTGCCTAAGTAGTCAGTTTATAGAAAATTATCAATTGCCAAAGCAGTTTATTATTTTTCCCTGCACAGTAGTAATAAATTCTGAGTCACTGAGAATAGTAATGACAAAGGCAACAAACTGTAATTACAAATCATTCTGTAAACTCAGAAATACACATTTAAACAAGTGCCTCAGAAACATGAATGATAAATTTCAGAAAAGCCTTGCTTTGTTTTGTTTTTGAGACAGAATCCTATGTATCCCAGACTGGCCTCCATGTCACAACCATTCTGTCTCACCCTCCTGAACAGTAAGTAGGATTATAAGCCTATGTTACTATGTTCAGATAAAAGATTATTTTTTGACCTGAATCAGCAGTACAAAGCACTCAACATCTAATTTCCTCATTACTAAGACAACAAAACCTGACATTATATAAGTTCAAAACTGATTATCAAGCCACAAAAATGGTGGCATTTATGGTTGTGCAAAAGAACTTGTGTGTTTCTTTTCCTATTGCTAAATAAAATACTCTTGACAAAAGCAATTTAAGAAGGAAAAAGTTTACTTTAGTTCACAGTTCTGGGTTCAGTTCATGCTGGGGGCATCAAAAAAGCCACAGGACCTTGAGGCAGCTAGTCACATTGCAGCCACAGTAACAAGAGATAAATATGGGCTGCTGCTCAGCTCCCTTTATTTCACACATCTTGGACCCAGCCAGGGGATAGTGCTGCCCTCTGCTGGCGGGTCTTCAATTAAGCAAATAAGCAATCAAGACAATCTTCAAGAGGCACACCCAGAAGCTCATCACCCAGATGTTTCTAGATTCTGCCTAGGTGATAATAACCATAAGCATATTCTAGTGACTTCTATGAATAATTAAGAATAGACCTATAAGACCTCCAAATAAACATTTTTATATGAAAGAATTAAGATTCAATGAGTTCTACTGCAATTCTGGTATCAACTAGACTTTTGTAAAAAAAAAAAAAAAAAAAAACTAGGCTAAATAAATATGTATTGTTAAGGTAATATAAACATTGTCACTTACTGAAATGCTATTATATAGTCTATTATCCAGCAATAGCACAGAGCTCTCTAGCATACAATACAATTGCATGAATATTACAGATCAATACCTATGCTTTCAAACCATATCTCAGGTATGGTTTTATATTTAAAGCAGTCATTCCTGCCTCCTACATGACAATCTAGAACATTAAACTCATAGCCCAAATACTAACTACAGTAGAAATGGTAATAACAGAAACCCTACAAAAAGCAAAGTTGTTATGATTAAGATGAAAATGTCTTGGGAATTTAGTACCTGTTCTGATATATTGAAGTCCAAACATTTTCCAGGACAGACCAGATTTCTTGATGCCTGGTGAACTGGGGAAGCTGGTGAACTGGAGAATCCAAGAAAACAGTGACTTCTTGGTTATGAAGCTTCATCAAAGAAGTGTCTTCCTGCTCTTTACTCACTGTGCTTTCTGAAGTACTTGGCTTACGTTTTGTCTTGACCTGTGATATAAGAATTACATGAAATGCACACCAATCCTTCACTAGCAACTGAGAAAACTGAGATACTAGCTTTCCAGATACGCTGGCTAATCTTCTCTTTTATATGCATAGAATATTCCTAGAAAAGCATTAGCTATAGAAAAAATATTTTTCGTTCCTATTTATATCAAATATGCTCAATTTATTTGATATAATAACCTTTCTTAGCTAATATGCAGAATGCCAATTAAGAATACTGTTCAATATATTGTTATGTAGAGACAAAGGGCAAACTAGGATGATTAAATAGGGAAGGGGATTGAAGAAAAGGGTAAAGAAGGAAATCTGGGAAGGAACTACTAACACTAGTGGCATTTGAAAATCCATATGGAAACCTACTACTGTAGAAGCGTCCAAAAATATATGAAGGGAATCTAAATGGAATAACCAAATAGTAAGGGAAATAATGCCCCAGCTAGACATCTTATGTCACCAAGCAAAACTTCCAGTGCCAGGAGTGGGTTACGTTTTGTTGAGTTGTTGGTCAAAGGAGTCCATGGAAACCCCCAAACATCACAGGTTATTGTCAAGGCTATTGATTACTCTCTACAACCTGATGGTAAGGCCCTACTGCTGAAGACAACACTTACACAGAGAGGTTGAGCTGGTGTCTAATTAGAGCCTTCACTACAACTGACTAGGGTTTATGATACTGGAAGGTACACTGCATGCTAGCAGAAGAGAAAAGTAATTAATCATCAATATTTCTCAGAAACAAACCTGGTGATGTACTAAAGTAACTGGCTTGAAAGATATACTGGCTCAATGGTTACATAAATGTTACGTGATTAGCCAACCTGATTGAATTTAAGGCCCACTCTTAAGATGGAATCCACATCCGACACTACTAAAGTGGCCAAGAACCTGAAACCAGATAGATCATGGGGCTAAGGAGGGACATAGCAATAGAATGACGCCTAATGACATGCTGCTGTATCCATAGTTTAGTGCCTTGCTCTGCTCTTATTAGAGAAGCTGCTTCTTGCAGTAGATGGGAACAAACACAGAGACCCACAACTAGACAATGTGAAGATAGTGAGAGACTTTGGAGCACTCAGTCCTAAATGGGATGTATTCACCAAAGCCCCATCCCCATCCCCATCCCAGGCTCAGGGATCTATGTGGAAGAGGAGATGGAAAGACTGTAAGACCCAGAGGTGACACATGACTCCAAGGAAACAGTGTCTTCCAGATACAACAAGAAGGAAGCACGTATGAATTCACAGAGACAATGACAGCACACAGAAGCCCTGTAAAAGTTCAAGCCAGTCTAGTGTAGTGTGATTTCTCTTGTGTGACTGGCCCCTTAAGGGATCCCCAGTTGCTTGTCAACCAGCTCTTTAAATCTTAGCTGTATTACTGCTTGACTCTATGACCTTCAGTGTTGGTTTCCTCTTGGATTTCTGAGAACAGGATAGGTTATAAAAAGCCAGCTGAGGCTTGGCAGGGCTGTGGCTATCAAAATGAGAAAGAAGAGAAGGCAGATTTTGTTAGGAGACAGTTAAGCCAGGAGAAGTTGAACTGAGCAGATAGGCTAGAACAATTGTTATAGTTTGGAGCAACTAGTACTGGGAAAAATGGGAGAAGGGACTGTTTAAGCAGACTATTGGAGAACTGAGGGAGGGACATTTGAGAGAAACATTTAAAGCATCTGGGCTGGAAACTGGGAGGAAGGCTAGCAGAGAGTTGAGAACTAGCCATTTTATAGATAGGGTCCCAGCACTGAGAAAGTCAAGTGAACACAAGCTCTCATGCCTAACCAAAAAGCTATTTGCAATTGATTCCCACTTGCAAAGACAAAATTAGTTTTCTCCAATGGAGTCTCACTGCACATATTAACTATAAGGCTAACACCAATGCCCAGTAGTAGGTGGCCAACACAAAAGAAAAAATAGTTTTCTAGGGTTAAACTTCTATGTTAATAAAAGATAATTTCAAAAGTTAATGTCTTACTATTTTTATGCTTTAAAATGCTTTAAACAAAATTTCTAATACTATATAAATATTAATGTTGCTATTTATGTGAACATGGTGTGTACAGGAGCTTTCTACAGGTTTCATATTAGCTCACTCAACCCTCATGACTACCCAGTACTATGACACAGAAACCCTATGAGACAGAACAATTCAGATTTTTAAGTAGAAGAAATTTAAAAACAGAAAGATTTAAAAACTCATGCAAGATGGTAAGAAGCCTAAGAGAGATTTGATTTTTAGCAATCTATAAAAAAAGGTTATGATTCCACACTATTCTCTATTTTATGGGTCAGAAAGCAAAAAGCAATGATCTCATTTTGTCTGTTTATATTAAATTATTAACTTAATAAACATAAATATAAACATAAATAATAAACTTTTTTTCCCCTAAAATTAACTTTTGTGACAGTGCTGGGACGAACTCAAGGCTCTGTCCATGACAACCAAGCTCTCCACTGAGCTACCACCCATATAACTGTTTTAACTAGCATAAACATTTGAAATTAAGTCTTTACCTATTTCTCCTTTGTTCTGGCTCTGAAATCAAGAGTATACACAAGCATGCTAGTGGATTTTTTTTTTTTTTAAATAAACACTTATATAGCACTTACTATCTTCAAGGCACTAAGTTATTCATTAACTTAGTTCATTCTTTTGGGAATTCTAAGTCAAGAAATATTATTGTACTCATTTTACAAAAGAGGGCAGGGATTTAAAGACTGAAAGAATTTAAAGAACCAGAGGCAAAAAACAAAACAAGAACAAAAACCCACAGATCAGGATCCTGGATATGCAAAATCTAAAACTAATCAACAAAATCGATTTGAATTATTCTAGCATGGTGGCTGATGAAAATATTCTGGTGTTAGAAAGCTAACAAGACAAGGGTGTTTTTACCCTTCCCTACTCTCACACCTCTCAGACACCCATCTGAAAATGAGGCTAATTAACTGTCTCATTTTAGTTTCTCAGAAGCTTTTCCCAAGCAAATAGATAATGAATGTTCTTTTTTTATTTTCTGTACTTGATAAATTAAGATTAAGTACACTTTTCAAGTTCTATTGAGATACCCTATTTTAGAAATAATTTTATTTTTCAAGTTAGAGACATAAATAGATACTTAAGATATGTACCACATCTAAGTGAATTATATAACAATCCTCAGTAAAATGCATTTTAGGGTTCCAAATGCTCAGTTGATAAAGTGCTTTGCCTCGCACACATGACACTCTGGATTAGATCTCAAGCACTACATAAACAGAGCATGAGGGTTCATCTACAATCCCAGTACTCAGGAGTTAAAGAGTTTAAGGTTATCCTTGGCCACACAGAAATTGTAGGCTAGCCTAGGCTATATGAAAACCCTGTTACCAATAACAACAACAACATCAGAAAACCCTCAACAACTATTGTGATACAACTTTCATAGAAGATGAATGTTTCATAACCTGTAATAAGACTTGCCTATACTTCAATATACTTGTTATTTACTCAAAGTCTTTAGAATACTAGAATAAGTCAGGATAATAATATCCTTTTATTTTTGTCCACTAAATTCATGTTTGGAATGTATGTGATCAGCTACTCTAAATAGTAATCTATAGGTATCTTACCTCTGCAAGTACTTGGAGGAGTCTGTTTACTTGAGCAAAGGTCTGGGGAAGAATACCATCATAGTTTGACCTTGTACTGAAAGCATGTAACAAACTTTTAGAATCCTGAAGCAGAAATTTCACTGTTGCAAAATCCACTGAATCATTAGCTAGTAAGAGAGAATTAAGAAAAAAAATATATAAAAGAACAGGCATACAACACAATGATCCCCTGAAACACTAATCAAGTATTAATTTTGCAATTTAAATAAAAATTTCCGCATACATGTCACAACTAATAGTCTGTTATAGGAAGCAACAATTGAACACATTTATTTATAGACAAAGTGTTCATGCTGACTCTGGTATTGTTTTCAGATTCTAGGAGCTCCTTGAACACAGTCAACGTCAAAGGGAAGAAAAGTGAAATATGACATTCTTCATAAAAAGGATTAATCACTAGATAAAAAGCCAAGCACAGTGCTTTCAAAGCTGAAGTTGTCTCACATCCAGATGACTATTTAAAGGAATGAGTCACATATTAGAGGCAAGCATATAAGTTAAATGTGGCTCCTGTCATGATTAAGCAACTATCATGTATCTAAAAATCTATCACATGAGAAGTAAAGCAAGATTTATTGATAATAGTATATTATCTCTTTATATACAAGAGTTCAGCTAATAAAGACTTTGGACAATAAGAAACAAAAGAATCTAGAATTTTCCTCCTGTATATTAAAGTAAGATAATCTACCACAATGTTCTCCAATAAATTTCCAAGTTATTGGTGACAATCATTTCAAAGGTTTAAAACGTTATAAAGAAGCCAGAAACGTTATGAAGAAGCGCTATATAGTAGGGCATTCCTGTAATTCCAGTACTCAAGAGGCAAAGGCAGGGAAATTGCTGCAAGTTCAAGGACAGTCTTGTCTACATAGTGAGGGACTGTCTGAAACAAACAAAAAACATCTGAAAACTATGTGACACACGCAAGGCAAGCCTGGGCTACATGAGATGTCTCAAAAAATTGAAAAACAGTTTTTGTTAAAATTCTGAAGAAAAGCAAAATAAGAATGATAAATTCTATACAGATATAACAAAAACAAAAATTCATATAGACAAAGTCAAAAAAGCTAATCAGTTCTTTCCAAACATTGCTCCATGAATTGATATAATGATATTAAGCTTGGAATACTGAAGTCAAACACATGTACAGTGCAACCACTACACGCACTACTATGTAAAGACAGTATACAAAATTATACATCATGACTTTTCTAACGTACAATCATTTGAAAAGCTGGAACTCATGGTGCACACCTGTAATCACAGCACATGAGGCAGCAGGTGAATCATAGGTTCAAGATTATCCTAAACTACACATTAATTTCAGGGCCAGCCCAAAATATAAGATCCTATCTCAAAATAAACAAAATTATCTTAGAGTGAAAACTATATATTCTCTACAAGCCACTAAACAAGAAGTATCAGATTTATCTAGATCAAGGACTATAATGGAAGTTTTGGTTTCTTTTAAAACTCAGTTATGTAAATATTTTTTGTTTTAATCCCAAGTGTGGCATTTTATTTTGGGCTTTAGTTTGTCCACAGCTGAAAAGAACATTTCAACACAGCAGCTTGGAGGGGACAGCTTGCTGCGTTTGCTATTGACGGGAGATTGCTATAGACCCCAAAGAACCCATCAACCCTAAATATCTGGGAAAAATAAAGGGGTCTGCCATCCCTCTTCCCACTAATCTTCTCTCTCCTACCTAGGGTTGGGAGTTGGGAGAGGCTTTAAGGAACCCCAAATAAAAGATTTTAAAACGAGTGCAACAAAGGATCAATAATGAGGCACTACTTAGTGACTACAAAAATAATTTTTAATAGAACATACAGTCAAGCCAGGCAGTGGTGGCACACAACTTTAATCCTAGCACTCGGGAGGCAGAGGCAGGTGGATCTCTGTGAGTTCAAGGGCAGCCTGATCTACAGAGCTAGTTCTGGGACAGCCAAGGCTACTCATAGAAACTCTGTCTTGAAAAACAAACTAACAAAAAAAGAAAGATACAGCCATTGTACCCTTAGTTTTTCTCTCTACCACCAGTGACAACTACTACCTGTCACCTTTCTGCTACATGTTAGGACAGACTACTGCTTAACCTTAGGAAGGCAATCATACAAGAGCAGCTAAATAACAAATTTTTGAAACTATCCTATAAATGGTATCATTGTTAATGTTCCTAGACATTGTGAATATATAATTTTTAAAAATATAAACTTTAAAAGCTGCCGTTGGAGCGGAAGAGATGACTCATTATATAGGTAAAATACTTGCAGTGCACCTATGAGGACCAGACCTCAAATCCCCAGAAATGCTGGGTTTGTGTAATGACCCACCCACTCATAATTCTACACTTAAAAGGGAAAAGATGAGATAACCAGAGCAGGTTGGCTAGCATGAAGAGCCATACCGATAAGATAAGCTTTGGGTTTGGCTGATTCCTACCTTTCCGCCTTATTTTTTAAGACAGGGTCTCAAAACTCTGAATCTGGAGCTTGCCAATTCAGCCAGACTGACTGATCAACAAGCCCTAGGGATGTTGTCTCTGCCTCCCCAGCAAGGTATTAGAGACACAAACAACCACACCCAGGTTTTCACCTAGGTGCTGGACTGAACTCAGTCCCTCATTCTTAGTTTCTAAGCATTTTACTGACTGAACAGCCCCCCAGCTTTTTTGATGTTCGCACACGCGTGTATGTGTCTGTTTTGGAGATGCCTGTGCATGCATGGAGTCTAGTAGTTGAAATCCTGAAGTATTCTTTCATGGGTTTTCCACCTTGTTTTTTCAAACAGTTGATCATCAAACCTTAAAACCTCTAGCTGAACTAGCTAACCCCTAAAACCTACCTGTCCCCATCTCCCAAGCTCTAGGTTAGAGTACACTGTCACACACAGCTTTTACTGGGCTGGATCTGAATAGAGGTCAGTATGCTTATACAGCAAGTACTTTTACCTACTGAGCCATTTCTTCAACCCATTTTGGTTGATTATTGTTTTTGTTTCTGATTTTAGAAATGATCCTATATCGTTTAGGTTGGCCTTGCACTTACTATGTAACAGAAGTTTACCTTGAACTTATGATTTTCCTGCCTCCAACTCTCAAGTGCTAGGATTACAAGCACCTGTCACCACACTAGACTGACTTAATACTTACAAGCAAATAAGAAAAGATTCATACCTTTAGAGAGATTTTCATATAGGCTCTCAATAGTTAAAAGCAACTTATTTTCCATAACTAATCCAAATACAGCCAGCCAATGTTTTTTAAAGCACTGTAGTAGATTTATTAGAGTCCATGGTGGTTTCAAGTACAGCACCTAAAAAGTATTACAAAATCACCATCTACTGATTTATTTTACCTATCATTTAAACACAGCAATACAGGGACTTATATACATATCCCTAACAAAAAGAGAGCTAGTTAGATTTACATCTTACCTTTTAAAGTACCTCTTACCTTTTAAAATAAGAAGTACTAATCAGAATTTTAAAGTGCTAAGTCTACTACAGATTATTTTTATTAAATTTTTGCTTTTTATATTAATTATAGTTTATTCACTTTGCATCCCAGCTGCAGTACCCTCCCTCATGCCCTCCCTATCTCACCCTCCGTCCCTCATCTCCTCCCATGCCCCTCTCGAAGTCCACTGATAAGGGAGGCCTCCTTCCCTTCCATCTAACCCTAACTTATCAGGTCTCATCAGGACTGGCTATACTGTCCTCCTCTGTGGCCTGGTAAGGCTGCTCACCCCCCAGGGGGAAGTGATCAAAGAGGCAGCCACTGAGTTCATGTCAGAGACAGTCCCTGTTCCCATTACTAGGGCACCCACTTGGAGACTGAGCTGCCATGGGCTACATCTGAGCAGGGAGTTCTAGGTTATATCCAAGAATGGTCCTTGGTTGGAGTATCAGTCTCAGAAAAGACCCGAGTCAAGATTTTTTGGTTCTGTTGCTCTCCTTGTAGAGTTCCTGTACTCTCCAGGTCTTACTATCTCCCCCTTCTTACATAAGATTCTCTGCACTCTGCCCAAAGTTTGGTTATGAGTCTCATTATCTGCTTTTATACAATGCTGGGTAGTCTTTCAGAGGCCCTCTGTGGTAGGCTTCTGTCCTGTTTCCTGTTTTCTCCTTCTTCCAATGTCCATCCCGTTTGTCTTTCTGAGTGAGGATTAACCATCTTACCAAGGGTCCTTCTTCTTGATTAGCTTCTTTAGGTGTACAGATTTTGGTATGTTTATCCTATATTATATGTCTAATATCCAGTTATAAGTGAGCATATACCATGTGTCTTTTTGCTTCTGTTACCAGGCACACTAAATCAGTTAGAAGAAAAGTGGGGAAGAGCCTAGAACTCATTGGCACAAGAGATAACTTCCTGAACAGAACACCAACAGTACAGGCTCTAAGAGCAACAATCAATAAATGAGACCTCATGAAACTGAAAAGCTTCTGTAAAGCAAAGGACACTGTCATCAGAACAAAATGACAGCCTACAGACTGGGAAAGGATCTTCACCAACCCTATATCTGACAGAGGGCTAATATCCAGAATATATAAAGAACTCTAGAAATTAAACAGCAACAAATCAAGTAATCCAATTAAAAAATGGGGTACAGAGCTAAACAGAGAATTCTCTGTAGAAGAATATAGAATGGTAGAGAAACACTTAAAGAAATGCTCATTGTCCTTAGTCATCAGGGAAATGCAAATCAAAATGACCCTGAGATTTTACCTTACACCCATCAGAATGGCTAAGATCAAAAACTCAAGTGACAACACCTGCTGGAGAGGATGTGGAGAAAGAGGAACCCTCCTCCATTGCTGGTGGGAATGTAAACTTATACAATCACTTTGGAAAGCAATCTGGCGCTTTCTCAAACAATTCCTCAAGATCCAGCTATACCACTCCTAGGCATACATCCAAAATATGCTCAAGAATACAACAAGGACATTTGCTCAATCATGTTCGTAGCAGCTTTATTCGTAATAGCCAGAACATGGAAACAACCCAGATGTCCCTCAATGAAGGACTGGATACAGAAATTGTGGTACATTTATCCAATACTACTCAACAATTAAAAACAAGGAAATCATGAAATTTGCAGGCAAATGGTGGGATACAGATTGATTTTTATAAAATTCATGTTATTAACCTTTTGTTTCATAACTTTTAAGTACAGAAAGCAGATTCTAATTAGAGAAACAGCATAGTTTTAACCAGAAGGGTATCTCAACCCACTTTTGTCTTTTTTAAAATGAAGGCTTTTTTAACGTGTACGAGTTTTCATTACATATATGTCTGCACACCATGTGTATGTGCCTGGTCCCCACACAGGCCAGAAGAAAACAACAAATTCTTTAGAATTGAGGTTACAATTGTGAGTGGCCATTTGTAAGCTAGGACCTGAACCAGAGTCCTCTGCAAGAACAGCAAGTGCTCTTGGTCACTTCAGCCTTTCAATCTGCTTTTCTAAATGGTCATTTCTATAAGCAAAATAATCTAAATGTTTCATACTACCAGAAGGTAAATCTATATAGAAAAAAACAATCAAATGCTACTCTTATTTGCTACAGTCTTACAAAGACATATTTATAAATAATTCAGGAAGATGTCAATCATTTGTATTTTTATGAAATATCTAATTTAAACCAATCCTCCTAGATCTTTTTTATTATTCTTTATTATTTTTGGATCAGCAATTGATAATATCATTAAGAAGCAAACATCACACTGGCAAGGTTTAAAATCTTACTGAATAACTGGAATAAAGACCTCAGCTACAATTAATGGTCTGTAACATTTCTCCTAGCTACAAATTGGAATTTGAAACAAACATTAAGTTTTAAAATTATGCTTTTAAATTTTATAAACTATGCTTTATAAATTTAGTGTTTCATTTAACTGTAAAAGAGATATTGAGCTAAGGAAATTCAAAATATCTTACTATCATTTTTACTTTCATATTTACATGGCATAAAAGTCAAATATACAGACATTTCATCAAACACTCTGACCAAATCAAACTGGGTAGGTGAAATATTGTTTGTTTATTTTGTTTAGAGACAGAGTCTCTTGTATCCCAAGCTCACTACATTGCCAAAAATGATTTGCAAGTCCTAGTCCTCTTACCTCTTACCTACTTTCCAGTGCTAGAAGTAGAGGCATGTGCCACTACACATGGTTTCTGTAGCACTGGAAATAAAACCTGTGGCCTCCACAGAGGAACAAAGCAACCAGTGCTGATGAGACCTGATAGGCTAGGGTCAAATAGAGGGGCAGGAAGACATCACCTATCAGTGGACTAGGAGAGAGGCATAGAGGAAGGAGAGGAAGGGAAAGTGGGTTTGGGAAGAGACAAGGGAGGGGGACACAGCTGGGGTACAAACTGCATAAATTGTAATAAATGATAATAATAATAAAAAAATTTAAACCTGTGGCCTCATGCATTCCAGTAAATCATTCTACCAATTGAGCTATATCCATAGTCCTTGTGGGAAACTTTTAAGGATTTTCAATTTAAGCTCTAGGAGATCAATATATCAAATATTCATAGTAAATGCACAGTAACTACTAGTTAATTAAAAAAAAAACACCACAGAATCTTCACTTGGAGTACCTTCTCTTTCTCATTTTTCCTAAATATATCTACTTTTGCTCTGTTCAAATAAATAAATGCTATACGGTCCTAACTTTTTAGAAACGTTCATCAAATAATTATCAAAAAGTTATTACAAGGTGGGCAAGATGGTTCAGTACCTTGAGGCACTTGCCACTAAGACTGACAACCTGGGTTTAATCCAGAGTAGCCACATGATAGGAGAGAACCAGTTGTTCCCAACTTGTCTTCTGACTTCCACAGCATCACCATGACAAACACATGCTTGCACACATACACACACTTGCAAACATACACACACTTGCACACATACATACTCAAAATAAATATATACAATCAAATTTTAAATTATCATAAAACTTAGGGAAAATATGATATGGATTACTGGAAAGCTTTTTAATTTATACAAGTATCTTCTGAGATAACAAATCATCAATAATAAAAAAGAAATCTCAACTAATATAGTTAAATAGGTACCTCCATCCAAAGATTTCCAAAAGCAATTTTCATTTCTGTTTCTAATATTGAAGATAAAGCTGTCCCAAGAGATTTTTCAAGATCATTTATGATGTGTTGAAGTATAATGGACAATCCAGAATTTGTAGACTCTTCATTAGCTTCAGGCGTTACTAAAAGAGGAAGTTACCTTTGGTTTTATTATTTGGGACAGAGTTTCAAGTAGTACAATGCAGAAAGTACTCCTAAGCACTGAAGGAAAGTTTTCCCACAGGAGGAAAAACTGAGATACATTTATAAACAGTGCCATGCAATGTAACAGTTCATCAAATATCAAGTCACAGAATAGATCTTTCTAATAAAAGAGCAGCATTGCCCTTATATGTCTGTATGTCTGTCTTTCTTTTTTTCTTTCTTTTTGTGAGGGGAGGTTTGAAACAGTTACTCTGTATGGCCTTAGCTGTCCTGGACTTGCTTTGTAGAGCAGGCTGGCCTCGAACTCACAGAAATCCTCCTGCCTCTGTCTCCCAGAGTGCTGGGATTACACGCACACACCACCACACCCAGCTAGCTGCCTTTATATTTCTCATTAGTTTAAATGTTAAGAAAAACATATTTTACTAGAGTTGTATGATATTTGCTTTTTCTGTATTAGTAAAGGATTAGAAGTATGAAACTAATTTTACAAAAATATTAGAAAATTCCACTTCAAAAGGGTATTTCCAGCCTGGCAGGGGTGGCACACACCTTTAATCCCAGGAGGCAAAGGCAGGCAGATTTCTGGGAGTTCCTGGCCAGCCTAGTCTACAGAGTGAGTTCCAGGACAGCTAGAGCTGGTACACAGAAAAACTCTGTCTCAAAAGAAACAAAACAAAACAAAAAGAGTATTTCCTACAGCTATTAATTTAAGAGACACATTTTGCAAGGTACAAGTTGTTATGCCCACAATGATTCTAAATACGTAAAAGTGAGAAAATTGATAAAAATAAAATTACCTTGTAAAAGTATATGGACATGGACAGCACTAACAGTGAAGTTTGTTTTTTGTTGTTGTTGTTTGTTTTCGGAACAGGGTTTCTCTATGTAGCTGTGGCTGTCCTAGACCTCACTTTGTAGACCACGCTGGCCTTGACGATCTGCCTGCCTCTGCCTCCCTGAATACTGGGATTAAGGGGTGTACTAACACACCTGGCTGTTCTTTTGCATTTTTATAATTTTTATTTAGTATATATGAGAAAATGTTCCAAATTAATCATTATTTTAAATGTACAATATGAAAATTTTTTATTATTTTGAAATGTCAACGAAAATACTAGTGCATAAGACATATTTCTAATCATTCAAGTAAAACTGTTACCTGCTTTCAACTGTGGCTTAGACATACCAGGCTGAAGACATATATCTGTGTTCAGAGTTAAATTTAGTATCTCTGCATCCAATTCTTCTTTACTGAGTGACTTCACACCACTTATGATGCTTTTACTTCTTAAATTTCTATCATCCCTAAAGATGGGGTTTGGGAAAAAACATTTTAGAAGATCAAGTAGATATTTTTAGAAGATCAACTGTGTTTCAATTCAAACATACAAGATCTAGTCAAAGGTTGATTAATTATCAATATGAACACTAAAAATAGCTTTAAGTTTAGAAATGAACTTGATAAAAACATTTATAGGGGACTGGAGAGGTTGTTCAGTGGTTCAGAGTGTTTCTTGTTCGCTCACAATACCTGGCCTCTGCAGGTACCTGCACTCATGTGGACATACCCACACACAGACATATGCACATACGCATTATTAAAGATGACAAAAACAAAACTTTAAAAAATCAAAGTTTAGATTACTTGAAGCTTCTACAAACATCTCTTTTAGCACCTGTATAGCCCACAAATTTTATATGTTGTCTTTTTATTTTCTTTCAGTATTTGTGTGTGTGTGTGTATGTGTATGTGTGTGTGTGTGTGCGCACGCACGTGCTCACACAAGCATGTATCACACGCACAGTGTGCAGAGGCCAGAAGAGGCTGCCATATTCCCTGGAGCTCAAGTTTTAGGTAATTGTAAGCTGCCCGATGTTGGGTTAGAAACCAAACTCAGATCCTCTGAAAGAGCAGTACATGCTTTTTAACTGCTGAATTATCTTTCTAGCTCCTAAGCTTCACATTAAGAAACAAGAAAAAAAAAGGGGGGGGGGGTGAGGGGAAGCAAGACATGATAGCACTTTCTGGATGATGAAAAAGTTATATTGAGAGAAATATTAACTATGGCACTGTATCGATTTGATAATGCCTACAGTTAATATATTTGAACATTTCAATTTAAGTCCATTTTTTTTCCTCAAAATCAGACAACTATGCAAAAATAATCACACTAGATAGGGGATGAATAAATATTTATAAATAATAAATAAAATATATAAATTTATAAAATAGATTTTTTTTTTTTTTTTTAGAGAAATGTTGTTGTTTAATGCTAAAGCTTAGCACACTCCAGCACCAGGACTGGCATGGAGTCAAAGTAGCAGGGACAGCTGGGTGACCCCATGGAGCCTCACATGGCGAAGAGGATGAGGAAGGCGACCATCAAACAGAAGAGTTCCATGGCCTCAGACAGGGCAAAGCACAGAATGGCATAGGAGAAGAGCTGCTGCTTGAGAGACGGGTTCCTGGCATAGCCAACAATCAAGCTACCAACACTGTTCCAATGCCAGCCCCTGCTCTAGCCACACCAACTGTGGCAGCCCCAGCACTGATAAATTTGGCTGCTGTGTCAATGTCCCGGGAAATAATACTGGTCTGGAATTCCTGTCTGGCCACCTGGACAGAGGAGCTGCTGCAGGAAGGCTGTTTAGATGGGGCCTCTGGTCGACTCAGGAGGGAGGCAGACACAGGCCTGATTAGACCTCTGGTACGGGAGTGGAGCAGAACTGGAGAAACGAGCAGTGCCTTGGTGGTCTGCACTTTTTAATCCGCACTCCCACTCCCCTGCAGCCCCTGATCAGCCCACAGCACTTTCCCTGTTCCGAATGGCAGACTCTTAATAACTGTTGGAGCTACATCAGCATTTCATTCCTCTCTCCCTTCTAGAACTGGGTCTCATGGATACTGGGAGGTGCTCTGCCACTCAACTATATGCCCAGTCCCAGGAGTTTCTTCTTCACTCTGAATATTGTTGGGATTCTCCACAATAAATCTTTTTTAAAAATAATTAAGTACCATTTTAATTTTCAGAAGAATATAAGCAGCATTACTTCCAGCAATGGAAGTAGAAACCATGACGTTATTTAGAGTAGAAAAAGAAAAAAATGTGGCTTCTTTTTTTTTTGTTTGTTTTGTTTTGAAAATGTACCATAAAGATTTACTTCCTACACCCCAAACCTCAAGAGTTCTCAGAATCTGCAAACAACCCATCTAATGCCCTTCTCTTCTTGACCATTTTATTCGAGATAGAGGAAAGGCAACAAGGCAGGCAGATCTGCCCATGATGACCGAGGGAAGCCACCACGCTCTTTTTTTTTTTTTTTTTTTTTTTGAGATGGAGCTCTCGCTAGGTAACCCAACTGGCCTTCAACAGTGAGGCAATTTTCCTGAAAGTTTCCCGATTAGCAGAACTAGAAGAGCCCACTACCTCACTCATATTTTCGTTATCACTTGGGTGTTAAACTTTAAAGGGTTCTCCAAGGGAAATGACGTGATTCTAGAAGTTCCTGAACCTGAAAAAGAGATACTTGTTGCAAACATAGGGCGTAAACAAAGGGAGCAAGGACACATCTCTGGAATTGGCAGAGGGAACACCTGGAGGAAACCGAACTGAGCAAAGTCTCAAACAAACCAAAGGAACCCACAGAAAAACATGTTTTAATGTGGAATTGTGGCAGGGAGATACAGAGACCTAACAGAACAGGGTTACTGGAGTATGAGAGAGAGAGCAGGACATCCACAAGACTGCCCAGGGCTTTGGGAATGGAGAGGGTGGGACGCTTTTACTCACTTAAAGAATAGACTAGAAAAAGAGGCTAGCATTCTTTTTTTTAATGGTGATCGATTTCAATCAAATAAGTAGGTGAGTATATTAATCTGGAGCTCAGAAGAATCATACAGACTAGAGATGTTAAATGAAATTGTTAGCTGATTTAAAAAAGTAAATCTAAGTGAAATCTTAAAATAATGCATAGCAGTACATTCTGACTCCAGACCCATCCTTTCATAAGGAGTCTGCCTTCTCACTTACTTTCTCTTCAGTTTTTTAATACTTTATGTACAGAAGTGTGCTGTCTGCATGCCTTTCTGTTAACCACGTGCATGCTGTGCCTGCAGAGGCCAGATGTAGGTATGCATCTCCTCTAGTAGAGTTACAGATGATTGTAAGCTGTCATGTGGACGCTGGGAATTGAACCCAGGTCCTCGCTCTGCAAGATCACCCAGTGCTCTTAAGCACTGAGCCATCTCTCCAGCCCTACTTTGTCTTTAAATAAACTTTAGTTCTTAAACCTTCAAAAAAAAATTAATAGTACATTGAATTGAATAAACTTTTCTATTACTAACAGCAACAACAACTGATGATGTAACATTATCATCATCATTATCCAACAACAAACCAGATGCACCCTCATGATAGGAGGTATAAGCAGATGACTTACACAATACACATTATCATCACTTAAAGAAAAATCGTGTTGTGTGTGATAGCACACACCTTTATACCCACTACTCAGGGAACAGAGACAGGTGGATTGTTGCGAGTTTGATACCAGCAGGTTTTACATAGGAGTTCTAGGGCATCCAGGAGGTGCTGGCTCACACCTTTAATCCCAGCACTCAGGAGTCAGAGGCAGGTGGATCTCTTGAGTTCAAGTCCAGCCTGGTCTACAAAGTGAGTTCCAGAATGGCTAGGGCTACACAGATAAATCATGTCTCAAAATAAACAAGTTTATTAAAAATTATTAAAAATACAAAGTGAATAAATTGTAATTAATAAAATAAATAAATTTATTTTAAAAGTTCTCGGCCAACCAGGGCTACATGATTACATGAGTCCCTGTCTCCATTAAAAAAAAAAAAAAAAAAAAAAGACCATGTGCTAGGCACTACTCTAATTCCTTTCCATACACTATCTGATAAACCGTATAAGGCAGGTATTAATACTTGTGTTTATTATACACAAGAAAGGTAAGTTAGGAAACTAGAGAATCATACAGCTGACAACTGACAGACCTAGGATCTAGCCCAGGCAAATTAACTGCAGAAGAGGCACTCACAACACAGCAGAGCACAAGCAAACCCTCTTCTTGTATGGAAATAGATAACCACCTTCTTACCTCATACAACTAAAAACGTCTTTAAGACTTTGAACCAACGTTTCCCCTTCCTCTCTCAAAAGTGTTCTGAATACTATATAAAAATAAAAGTTCATTTATTTAGTATCTCATTTCTCTGCAATCATATATCATAAAGAAATAGATGAGTATGATTAGTGGTAGATTTAAAAGTTAAGTGTTTGATCCTTGAGTTGGTAAATATAATTCCTTTTTTTTTTTTTTTTCCTAGAGCTGAGGACCGAACCCAGGGCCCACTCTACCAGAGCTAACCTACCAACCCCAAATAGTTTATTTTATTTTATTTTATTTTATTTTATTTTATTTTATTTTATTTTATTTTATGTAAATTGGTGTAAAGACGTCAGATCACCTAGAACTGGAGCTACAGACAGTTATGAGCTGCCATGTGGGTGCTGGGAATTGAACCTGAGTCCTTTGGAAGAGCAGCCAGTGTTCTGAACCACTGAGCCATCCCTCCAGCCCCAGTAAATATAATTTCTAAAAATTCTTTGCCATAAGCTATTATTTTAATCACAATGACTATGAAACTCACGTGCACAGAATAACAAGAGAACACGGGAATAATTCCTGGTACTGAAGACAGCATTTTAATACTCGATCATCATTGTTCTCATCACTCAATGCATCTGCAAATATAGCAAAGGCAACTATCAATAAGTGTATTAAAATCTGGACATTATTTGAGCATGCTGACTCATGCCTGTTATTCCTGTTTTCAAGTGGCTGAGGCAGGAAGATTGCCCCAAATTCAAGACTAGCCTGGGCTAGAGTGAGACCCAGGAAATGAGAAGAAAAAGCTGGGGTGGAGACAGAACAGGCTGGGACAATAGTTCAGCTAGTAAGTGCCTGTTTCTTCAGGACAACTGGGGAAGATACCAAATGTCAACCTCTGGCTTTCTTATGCAGACACATATACCTGTGTGTGTGCAGAAAAATACACCCACACAGAATAAAACCTCCTATCACCTGATTAATCTAGACAATATCTACAAATCAAAACATGTAAGTTTTGAGGCAATGAAGCTACTCTGATGGTGGATACACGTCACTATGTATTTCTCCAAACACTACAATGTGAACTGGGTGTCAAGGATTTGTCAGTGTAGCTGCACTGACTGTAATACTTTTTATCTTTTTGGTTTTTTGAGACAGGATTTCTGCAGACTTGGCTATTCTGAAACTAACTATGTAGAACAGGTTGGCATCGAACTCACAGAGGTCTGCTTGCCTCTGCCTTCCAAATGCTAGGGTTAAAGGCATGAGCCATCACTAGTGACGAAAATATACTTATTTTGATGGACAGTATTGATTATAACAGATTATTATGAAAAAAAAGAGATAAGTATGCATGGGACTAGAAGCATATGAGAAATTTCCATTACTTCTGCTCAACTTTATTGTAAAGCTAAAACCTATCTAATCACCTGTTTTTAAAAATATATCTAACAGGCTAAAAACTCATTTAAGAAATGAAGATAGCAAAACAGTGTCTTCACAACTCTGAATCCAGACTTCACTTAAATTAGACTTTGCCTGGATTCAAAGAAATGAAATGTGATCAGAATGTTAAATATCTGACTAGAAAACGAAAGTTATGAATCTAGTCTCAATTCAGTCACTCAAATATTATATATAAAATACAATTGCAGCATGTTTGAAATTTTCTCAGTTTAAAAGGTCTGTAACTAAATTTATTGTGCCTGCTTTTCCTTAGCCTCTAAAACATTGCATTTAAAGAAGTGCAAGAAAAGAAACATATGCCTTTGGCAGAAAAAAACAAAAAGTGAGAAGGGAAGACAGAAAAAGAAAGAGGAGGAAGAAAAGGGTAAGGAGAGAGAAGGAAAGAAAGAAGGGGAGAGAAGAAGGAGGGAGAAGAAGCAATAGAATGGAAATGTAAATCATTATAAAAAAAAAAAAAGAAGGGGGAATCCAAAGTTCTATAGTATAGCCAAGTATGCATAAAACTATATAATCACGATCTGTGAAATACTAACATAGCCTAAGAAAGTATTAGGAAAAACAAAGCCAAAGATTCGCAAAATGAGCCACAAATTATTACAATACTCTTTTCATTTCACATATTAAGGGCAAATGGTTAATTTTTAAACCATTTCTTTCCAAAAATAAGCAAAAACCCAGATAAATCTTTATCGAAGCATAGCCAAGAACAATACTTACAAAGTTTTTGCGATGCCAGCTGTAATGGCTGACCCCACAGCTTTCTATCTTGATTTCTGAGGCTGTCGTTGATAAAATGAATTGCGGGTACAGCTTTATGCTGGACATGTTTCAGTAATTTTCCTGCTTTCATACGATCTAGCTCTTGCATAACCACCCAGGGAATTATCAACACAAGTGTCTCAAAGCCTAAAAAATAAAGAGATTTTTTTTTTTAGAACCCAACATGTATGGAGCTACTACATCAATTTCTGGAGAAGTCAAAGTTTTAGAGTCTATGGGCCATGGAGATGGCTTGGTAGACAAGTGTATTTGCTGTCAAGCCTGATGACTCACATGGTGGCAGGGGACAAACAAACTCCTACAAGTTGTCTGTAAGTTGTTCTCTACCACACATATCCTGTGGCATGCACATATGTGCACACACACAAATAAATAAATAAATAAAACCAATTTTAAAATACAGTGTCATTCCAAAGTATTTTAGATTTCTAGGTTATGCTATTAAGGATATCGTCTTAGAATTTTCAGATGATGGAATATAACTGTGAGAAAACCAACTCTACTAATATAAAGTATCAACAACTCAAAACAAACAAACAAAAAACCCAGAATCTGTGAATGTTTTATAATACCTGGTATTTCTGTCGTCTTCAAAATTTTAACAAATTTGAGATGATTCATCAGAATATTTGTGTCAATAACAATTAGAAGCTTTTTGTCTGAGGCAGTATTTGCTAGAGAAGAAGAGCAAAGTTACTGTTTCATGACACTTGATAATGAATTATGACTAAATTTGGATATCAAAGAAGTACAGAAAATTCATTTAACTGTAAAGCCTCTATGTCTTCTAAGCCTAATGGTATAAAAAATTCAATCATAGGATTCTCAAGCCATTAACTACCTGACCTATGACTTGCTGCCTCATAAATTTCAGCCACTCAAGGATTCTCTGGGCAGGATCAACAACCTTGTTTAAGCCAGAGCCTGTGCTGAAGGTTAAGGAGGACTTGTCCAGGTCAGAGAAGGTAAGGCCTGGCACAGCTGGAGCACAGGAGCAAACAGGTCAAGACTGGAGAACTACCCACAGAGTGTTCTTGGGAGTATTCTCATGGGAAGAAGTTCTTTAAATAAGACTACAAAACTCCTGTTAACAGTAACTCCTATTACTTCAGTTCTTAAGGGAAAAAACAGTAATTGTAAATTCCCAACCCAGTAAACTATCATAAATTGTCTGCGGTTATAATCACAAACTGATCTGCCCCAGCAGTAACTATGATTCTAAATCCTTCCTCCATACCTGGTAGTTATACACTCAAAAAGTATAAATTAATTTTATTATAACATCAATAAAACATCACTGAAAAACTAAATATGTAAAAAGGAAAATAAAATGAGTATTTTAAATAAGAATAAAACGTACCACAACACTTTTTACAGAGAATTCAAATCGGTATACTAATTTAGGTAATCTTATTTTTTTATTTATTTTGCAACAGGGAATATATTAGACTGTATAGAACAGGCTATCATGGAACTCTATGTGGTGCAAGACTGTCTCGAGCTCCTCAGCCTCCTGCTTCAGCCTCCCAAGTATTGAGACAACAGGCATGTACCACTACTTCCTGTACTTTGCATAATTGTTATTATCTGTTCCCAGTAGTAAAAATAACCAAAAAATTACTGTATTAACAAGGAAACCATGAAAATAATACCTTCAAGCAAACTGTCTTCTATTTGATCAGTGTTTTGCAGATTAAAAGAACTAAAAGTTATAATTAAGATCAAGAATAAAAAAGTGCATAACTTCATTAGTTATGAGAAAAAGAAAATGTCTAATGGTCTAGTAAGATAAGAGATACACCATGATTTTAACTGAGCACATTTTAACATTTTCATCTATACACTGTAAAAATTGAATGCTGGTACAACAATTCTTAGAAAAACACAGATCATAAAAATTAACAAATATACCAGCAGAAGAATGTACATCATCTTCTACCAAGTCAATTTCCATACTCATTAACTCTCCAGATGGTGGAACCACAGGTAAATCCACACTTTTTCCCACACGTGCAGCATGGAGCTCTTCTACTATCTGCATCTAAATTGTAAAAGACCCCAGTGAAGTATCTAGTTACTTACTGCAGATATTAAGAAAGCAATACATCACAAAAAGGCCTTACAGAAATAGAGCACAGAAAAACATATGGATTTATAACCACAGTTTTAAAGTTCGTTCCTTTCTGTAGTAGCCTCAGGCAAGCAAACTGTTTTACTACTTTACTACCTAATTTGCCCACTTATTAAGAATATCAAATTTATCTATTTTCTTTAGGATTTTTTGTTTTGTTTTCCTGAGACAGGGTTTCTCTGTATAGTCCTAGCTCTCTTGGAACTCACTTTATACATCAGGCAGGCCTCAAATTCACAGAGATGGACCTGTCTCTGCCTCCCGAATGCTAGGATTAGAGGCGTGTGCCTCCCTGTCTGGCGAGGATTCTTGTGTCATTAAAGTGAGCCGTGTGAAGTGCCTTCTACAAAACGTAGTGCACGGGCATTCTCATTTCAAAGTGCTTTAAAGAGTTGCCCTTCTCTACCGAGTGTGGCCTAAGACTACCGGAGCGCTGGAAGGCTTGCCTAGCATGTGTTAAGTCACTGAATCCAATCCCCGGCTCCACTAAAAAACAAAAGTGTGCTGTCAAGTATCCTTGAGATTTCTAATATTGCTTATCAACTATCAGAAACTAAACACTAAATCTTTTATTAATTGCATTACACTTTAAAAATTTCTCTTGTACTGGGAGAATACTGGTATGCATGCGCCTAAGCACGTTTACCCACACGCCATCTCAGGGGCTCTGAACTATAAAGCTTAAGATCCCTCTCATTTTAGAAGTAGCTCTCTGATGGTATTCTGATATACAATAATTAAACTATGGCTGGAGATGGTGGTTCACACTATAATTCCAGCACTCAGAAGGCTGAGGCTGGAAAATCATGAGGTAAAGGCCAATCATCTTTATATAAGAAGAATAAGGCCAGTTACACAGTAAGAACTGTCTCAGATTTAGACTTTCAAAAGAAAATGAGAATGTATTCTCTTTAAAGCAGACATGAACGGTCTTCTATCAAAGAGCACTGAACCGTTAGACAGGAAAATACAAGTAACTCTTATAAACAAAGGTTATCCACAATTGTTTAAAGAGAAAAATACACAATGTTAGTGTTTTAATTTACTCAGGCAACATAAAATTATACACAATAGTTTTATGAAGATAAATCATAGGATTCTAGGTAGAAAATAAAGCAATGGGTAAAAAGATGAAATATCGTGGACTTTCATTTTCACTGAATAACAATGTCATCTTACTGCTGAGTAGAAAAATAAAGAATGTGTTGGTGTCACACTGCATTTTGGCAACTCTAGGTATACACATGCAAAAGCATAACATTAAACTAATATAAAGTAACCTGTGGCCCATGAACATCACCCTCTGTTTAAAACAGATTAGCTTATTAAAAGCAAGGGTAAATGCAAGTAAATATAAAGACTTCTCCAAGTATTTTCCCCTGGTGCTACAGACAAGCACTCTACCAACACTACAGCCCTCATCCCTCCAAACAGTGTTTGATAACCTAATTACAACTTACAAACTGAACTTCCTAATAAGTCCAAGTATAAGATTTTTATAGAGTTTAAGTAGAGACATATTTTCATACTGCCAAGGTTTTTACAGACATTTTGTTAAAAGTAAGAACTGCTTAGCTAGGTACCCCTGTAACTCCAGCATTCAGGAGGCCAAGTAAGGAGGATCCAAGTTTGAGATCAGCCTGGGCTACATAGTGAGACCCTGTCCCACACCTTCACACAGCCCCAAAAAGGAAGAATGAAAGAACTTTGAATTTCTTTAAAATATAAAAGTAAATAAGCGCATCAGTAACCTCTTCATCTGTATCTTGGATATTCTCAGATGACACTGAAGAACACGGTGTTTCAAAACTCTGCAATGAGAAAGGGTTTTGAGTTAAGCTTTGTATGATGTATAACAGCATCTCTGGACTCAGGTGGCCAGCTACCAGAACTGGTACCCATCGTGTGTATGTGTGTAAATCAGAGGACAACTTGGGAGACTCAGTTCCCTCCTTCCACCATATGGGTCCCAGGGATCAAAACCATGTCATCAGGTTTAATGGCAAGTGCCTTCATTCACTGAGCCACCTTGCCAGCTGCCAACCACACTGACAAACAAAAATGTCTCCAGACATTAATAAACGCCCTTAGGGATAAGAGATCACCTCTAGAAGAGAAAAGCCCTGTGCTACCAAGTCATAAGATGTTGAGTCATACTCTTTAGGACTTTTATACTCATCAAAATACTCATGTTTCAATAACAGAATTATGTCACCCTAAGGAATATCCATCATAAAGATAAACAAGCAAGGTTTCAGTGGAAGAAAAATTTTATTCATAAATCGCTGAAGTGTTTCCCAGCCCTCTGGCTAACATCAAGTATAGAAGTCACTGAGCCATTTCTAAAAGTGACCTGCCAAAACAACCAGAGAAATCTAAGGACTGATACAGCTAAGGAGAAAAGGCAAAAACCAGAGAGCTGTATTCTACAGTGAGTGAGAGCATCAGAGGTCGGGTTTATCTTCTCTTCTAACAGAGACTGAAATATCTTTCAATAAACCTCAACTCTGAGCCAACACTTTAATATTTTATGACAAGATTTATAATTCCTTCTCTCTCTTACTTTAAATCTTATTAAAATTTCTCAAAGGTTTTCTTAAATGAAGAAGTGTCATGGAAACTAGACTGATCAGAACTGCTTGTAACTAGACATTCTAAGTACCCATGTTCTCTTCTTCAGGCCAATTCTACCCGCTGATCTCTGACCTTACCTCACTTCTCGAGAGGTCAATGAGTCTATCACCTAACAATGCAGGACATTAATGTTAACTGTCTTTGAAACTTCCTAAGCACATTACAAATGAAAACAGTAGCGGGCATTTAGCTGATATTGTACCTTACTATGCTTTATTAAATACACTGAGGATAAATTTTATCTATTAAAGTGACTCTAAATGGGAAAACATGACTATCTTGCTCCCCTGATTACTTCTCAGTGCCTCTCATAGTTCTATCTACAAGACACAAAACAAAACACTAGGCTTTCCTATTAGACACTATTAGTCACTGTTCTATTGGTAGAAAGCAGCACCATGACCAAGGCAACAATTATAAAAGGAAGCATTTAATTGGGGGCTTGCTTACAGTTTCACAGTGTTAGTCCATGATCATCATGGCAGACAGGCAGAGCATTGGAGCAGCAGCTGAGAGCTACATTCTATCCACAGGCAGCAGGCAGAAACACCCTGGGCCTGGCAAGGGCTTCAGAAATTTTAATGCCCACTCACAGCAAAAACAAGGGAACACCTCCTAAATCCTTGTAAATAGTTCATCAACTGAGGACTACACATGCAAATATGTGAGCCTATGGGAGGCATTCTCATTCAAACCACCAAGACATAAAATCATCTATTATCTGAACCCTGGATTTCCATCTAACACTTCTCTGTCTGTCTTGGCATGTCTCAGTCTCTTCTCTTCTGCTATGCAGAACATGCTAGCTTTCAATCTGTGACAATCCTCTGGCTCAGCCTCCAGAGTACAAGGATTATATAGGCATGCCACAGATTCTCTCTGTGTTTTGTTTTGTTGTTAGGACAAAGTATAGTGTAGTTCAGTACAGGCTGTTTTTGAATTCACTATATTACTGAAGGAGCTTACATTCCTGGATTTCCTGCCTCCACCTCCCAGGGGCATGCTCCTACAGTTGTAATGACCCAAAGTTCCAAAAAAGTTTTCTTAAAGGTAAATAATTTTATTCACCATAGAAAAGGTCAGAGAAAGGTTCTTAAAGTGGTCCACAAATGTCAACTTATTATGTAATTTAGTGGCAGAAGAAAGGCTTCAAGATTAGTACATAAAAGAAGCCCTCACAGAAACACTGGAATACACCTCCACCAGGGTTACATATAAGATCAACACATGCACAAGAAAAGCCTGCGACATACAAACATGGGAAAAGGTGAGCACCACAAATATATGGGTAGAGACTTAAGATGGGATATGCGATGCCTGAAGCTGTATGCAGAACCACAAGTAACAGATCAACCACAGAAAAGTCCACTGCTAAAATAAGCCAGAAAGTAAACACTGAAGTAACATAAAACTGCAACTCCTTGTGCAGTAGGTAGGAAGCTGAGTTACTAAAGATCCTCTCTGCCCTGGCTGGCTTCCTCCCATTGAAAGCGTATCTTCTCCTAATCAACTGCCACTGCCTGAAATGGTACCCTTTCTGAATAAATTCTCTCTTTGATTCCTACTACCTACATGTCTTCGCACAGTTCTCTGTCCAGAGCACAAGAACCTGGGTGCTGTCCTAAGACTCCAAAACCAGGTGGCATCAGCGTCACCCTAAGGAGGCCGGGATGAAAAGAGTAAGACAAGACACGGGTACATTTCTACATGTCTAAATTTAAACCTCTGTGATTAGCATCCTAACAGAAGCAACTAAAACCTGAGTATTTTAAATATTTTTACTAAAGCCAAACCTCTTCATTTTATACATTACCTGGATACAGTTTTCCTTAGAATCTGAACCATTCATTTCTTGGTGCTCGCAATGGTATTTTCTTTTCCCCTCACAAACAGTCTGCTTATGTGCTGAACCTGGAAACAAGTTCTCAGTTCTGTGCGTGGCCGGACTTAATGACATCTGGGAACTGTGCAAGCGTTCCTTGATCTCCTGCTTAATCTTTGACTTACTAGAGTCCACACTAAAGATGTTTTCTTCCACAGGCTTCTGGAGGGTGCTAGAGGACTTTTTTGGAATTTTGAAGCTGATCTTCTTTCTTCCAGATTCAAATGGTTCCTTGATATTGCTGAAATTATAATTCTGAGGAAGTTGATTTTTCTTGCACTTCTCCAATTCTTCAGAACTGTCTTTAAGCTTTGTGTTCTTTTCTTTCAGTTCTTTCATCTTCTTCTGAAGAAGTGAATGTGACCAATTCTTGTCCTTTGTCTGGCCTTCAGGTTTAGATTTCACACCTTTGGTAATTTTAATGTTGCTATGTTTTTTTATTTCATAATCGGGCTTACTTCCAGTATTCGTCAATTTACTATCGTTAAGTTTAGTATCTTCAATTTCATTTGATGTACAACTCTGTGAAGTAATTTGATTATTATTTGAACACGATGCTACATGGGTTGAGGAACTGAATTTTGGTCTCTTTCTAGGCTTGTCAACTTCTACATTCAATCTATAAAGCAGCATAGATACTTAGGTTAGCTATGTTTGTTATTCAAACTGTTGCATTGTGTCATTATGTTACAAGTTAACTGGGCTAGGTCTAAACTTCTTAAAAATGTCAGAAACAGGGCTAGAGAGTTGGCTCAGTGCTTAAGAGTTCACACTGCATGGGCTGGAGATGGCTTAGAGGTTAAGAGCACTGGCTCCTCTTCCAAAGGTCCTGAATTCAATTCCCAGCAACCACATAGTGGCGTACAACCATCTATAATACGATCTGGTGCCCTCTTCTGGCATGCAAGTGTACATGCAGACAGAACACTGTATACATAATAAATAAATAAATAAATAAATCTTTTAAAAAAAGGAAAAAAAAATAATTCATACTACTCACATAGAGGGCTTGAGTTTCATTCCCAGCACCCAAACTGGGTAGCTCATAACTGTATGCTTTTTATATTTATGCTGATTATTAACAAGAAATTTCCTAACTATAAAATTCTTTGAAATGCTTATCCAAAGAATGAAAAAATAAAAAATAAAAAAAAACAAACCTAATTTCCTTGTCTCTACCATCATTCTTCATATTTTTAGTTGTAATCACGATGGTAAATTAACACAATTTTAGAGTCATACCTATAATTTGGTAAATTACATATTTTCTCACAGGTACTATATAATCTATACATAATTTCTAAATTAGATTCAACAAGCTCTTTACTCATACATATAATAAAATTATATATCTCAAAACTCTGTATAAAAACCAAGTCCCAAGAGTTAATAACAATCTATACTGTATCTGAGTATATTATAAAACAGTTTTGGTGGATTTTTATTTCACTCAACTCTTTCTTAAACTTCTGGTAATCTACCAGAAATATTTGCATGCAAACAGTACTCATCAAAGTAAATAAAGTGTTTTCCAAATTTACATATTTAGTCTTGGGCCAGCAAGGTGGCTCAGTGGGTGAGTGTACCTGCCACCACCAAGACTGACAACTTGAGTTCAATGCCTGGAATTCCCAGTGGAAAAAAACCAACTCCTGCAAGTTGTTCTCTGACCTCCACATACCAAGAACACATACATGCATACATGCTCCCAACATAAAATGAATACATATAAAAGTAATTAAATAAATATTTAGTCCTGATGTTTATCATGGTGATTTCAAGATTTAACCTAGGCTACATGGCAAGCTCCAGGACAGCCTGATCTACATACATAGCTACACTTTGTCCCTAAATCCCAAGGGTGGGGATATAGCCCAATAATAAGAGTGATTGCTTAGCACACACAAGACACTGGGGGTTCAATCCCCAGTAATAATAATAATTAAAAAATTGTTTTTAGTCTCACTAATTCTGAGCCAAAACTGTATAAAGATGTCGAGAAAAAAAAAAGAGAGAGAATTTACCTTTTCAGACCTTGTTTTCTCTCTGTATTATAATATAGAATGTCTGTATCATCTGGTTTCTGAAATTAAAAAAAAAACATAGAAAATATAATTGTGTACTGTTTTTACAGTTACAGGGAAGAAGAATAAGAAATATCTGTGTTTATAAAAATGTGTCTACCATAAAAATTCACTTAATCTTTCTAATCATCTTGGGGCAGATATTATCACATTTATTACTGAGAAAGCACCCAAGCTTACAGAGTTTGAGATCATTCTGATCATCACAGTGGAAGTTAGTGGCACTGTCATGATCTAAAACATGTCTGTCTAACTCAATTCCACCATCCTATCTACGTAATCAGAGGACCCAGATACAAAAAGATAAAGATATAAAGGACATGTACAAATAGCTTAATTATTTTTAATTTTTTTTACAACTTATTCATTTTATATCCCAACTGAAGTCCTCTCCCTCATCTCCTCCCAGTCCCACCCTCCCTTCTTTTCCCCCCTAACCTCTTCCCCTAATCCACTGAAAGAGGGTGTTCTCCTCTGCCATCTACCCATAGCTTATCACGTCTGATCAGGACTGCCTGAATCCTCTTCCTCTGTGGCCTGGCAAGACCACATCACCAGGGGCAAGTAAAAAACAGGTAACCAGGGCATGGAGAGAGAGCTCAGTGGTTAAGAGCGCTGACTGCTTGTTATTCCAGAGGACCCAGGTTCAATTCCCAGCACCCACATGGAAGCTCACAACTGTCTGTAACTGCATTCCAGGGGATTCAACACCCTCACATAGACATGCACACAGTCAAAACACCAATGTACATTAAATAAATTAAAAACAAAAAAGAGCAGGCAACAGAGTTCATTGCAAAGGCAGCTCCTGCTCCCCTTACTTAGGAACACATATAAAGACTGAGCTTCCTAAGGGCTATATCTGAGCAGTAGGTCTAGGTCCTCTCCATGCATGGTTCTTGGTTGGTACATCAGTCTCTGCAGGACTCCCTGGGCTCAGGTTTTTTAGTTTTGTTGGTCTCCTTGTGGGGCTCCTATCCTTCTATCTCCCCCTGCCCCTTCTTCCATAAGACTCCCTGTGCTCTGCCCAAAGTTTGGCCGTGAGTCTTATAAATAGCCTAATTAAAAGGATATAACTAAATGTCAAAGTAGAGTAACAGTCAGTATATGCTAAGCGTTCAAAACATCCACCATCAAAAGATGAAAGATACTCGTGGGAAAAGATTAGCAGAAGATATGAGAAAGGCAAAAAACAGTAAATGATATGAATTCAGCAGAAAGAAAAAAAAGATTAATTAGCCCCGCTGGAGGGAGAGGAAGTCTGTCAAGAAACAAAGGACAGGTGATAAATTACTTAGTTAAGAATGGACCAAATTTAATTTAGCAGAGGACAAATAAGAACACTGGGACTGGCAGTGTGCACACACATGTGTAAGGCCTTGGGTTTGATCCCCAGCACTAAGACTGATATAAAAACAATAAACTGAAACAAACTTAATCACAACCATGTGCCACATATTTTTCAATAACAGACCACACATGTAACAGTGACTCCATGATAAAACTGGAAAAGAATGCATAGCTGCAAAGTCATGAGAAAAGCAGAACACAACTCCCAAGAAAATGGTAAGTGAAGGATACTGCAGAAGCCTTTGCAGACCTCAATATGCTACATAAAATCTTTAAAACAGCCCACAATACCAAAGGTTTCCATTACTAGAGAATGTTCATGCTGCAAGCAATGAAAAAATTATAGAAAAATACAGAAAGAAAATTTCTATCACAAGTCCTCTAACTGTACATTAAAACTTTGCTATGTCTAAGTGTACTGAGTGTCACAAGCCAACTACTTGAAAGAGTAAAACAGAAAGACTAATTAATCCAAGAATTCAAGACCAGCCTCAGAAATATAGTAAGAGTCAATCTCTTAAGGGGAAAAAGAAAAAACAAACAAACAAACAAACAACAACAGAACACTTTTAAACCCTTAAAAAAAAGCGCAGGAGAGATGACTCAGAGATTAAGAGCACTCGTTATTCTTCCAAAGGTCCTGAGTTCAATTCCCAGCAACCACATGGTATCTAATAACCATCTATAATGAGATCTGGTGCCCTCTTCTGGCATGCAAGCACACAAGCAGGCAGAACACTGTACATAATATATTTTAAAAACTTCCATCAACCCCTTCTTCCATAAGACTCCCTGCACTCTGCCCAAAGCTTGGCTATGAGTCTCAGTATCTGCTTCAATATCCTGCAGGGTAGAGTCTTTTAGAAGCCCTCTGTGGTAGGCTTCTGTCCTGTTCCCGGTTTTCTCCCTCTTCCGATGTCTATCCCATTTTCCCTACTGAATGAGGATTAAGCATATTACCCATGGACCTCCATCTTGCTTAGCTTCTTTAGGTGTACAGATTTTAGTATGTTTATCCTATATTATATGTCTAATATCCACGTATAAGTGAGCATACACCATGTGTGTCTTTCTGCTTCTGGAGTAACTCACTCAGAATGATCTTTTTTAGTTCCCACCATTTGCCTGCAAATTTCATGATTTCCTTGTTTTTAATTGCTGAGTAGTATTCCATTGTGTAAATGTAAGCTCCACAAGAAGAGCAACAGAACCAAAAAACTCTGGGCACAGAGGTCTTTTCTGAGACTGATACTCCAACCAAAAGCCATGCCTGGAGATAATCTAAAACCCCTCCACAGATGTAGCCCATGGCAGCTCAATCTCCAAGTGTATGGGGGGGGGGGGGACATCCTTACCAGGACACAGAGGAAGACAATGGAGCCAGTCCTGATAAAACCTGATAGGCTAGGGTCAGATGGAAGGGGAGGAGGACCTCCCCTATCAGTTGACTGGGGGAGGGGCAAGGGAGAAGAGGGAGGGAGAGTGGGATTGGGCCAGGGATGAGGGTGGGGGCTATAGCTGGGATACAAAATAAATAAGCTGTAATTAATAAAAATAAATAAAAATAAAAAGGGGAAAAAAGACTTAAGAAAAATAATTTCATTGAGTTATGGTATCTAAACACTTAAGAGTTTTCTCTTCTGGGTTGAAGCTAGTTTAACACAGTGTACTGAACTAGTAGAACCTACTGAGATTTCTCCCTCCTTCTTGTCCTAAGAATGCCATTCAGGATTAAAAACGAACAGAAAAAGCACAAAATAAAGCCTGACTTAATCATTATAAATTGACATTCTCATTCAAAAATGAGCTCTAAGAACCCTAAGAGACACAAACTTTAATAAGAAGGAAGACTCAATCAAGAGGAGGATTCAAGAAGTCAGAAGCCTTGCGTGCTTCTGAAGTGGAGGTGAGCTGAGTACAGTCAGATAAGAATGCTGTGAGACAGCACTGCCACAGTGGGATTCAGTCTAAAGGACAAAACCCCGTATCTCATTTTCAATGGATCTTGAACTCAAAAGGCTGAAGACAATGTTGTCTGAAGTACCTTCTATTTTACCAAAGAGGTGAGTCTTAAGTAAATAAATTCTTGCCTCCATAAAGGTTAAGATCTAATGAAGAAATATATAAATATTCTAATATGTTTAGCATGTCAGATGATACTACAGATGAAATAAAATAGAAAAGGTAGAGAAGAAAGATGAAGAGCTGTTAAGCAGAAAGATTAAAAAAAATTCCACTGATAAGCTGACAACTGAATGAGGAGACCTTAGTGAAGAAACAAGGGCTAGAAATGTATCTCAGTGGACTGCTTGTCTAGCATGCATAGGCCCTGTGTGCAATCTCTAGCACCACATACACTAGGCACAGTGGTCCACACTTGTAACCCAAACATTCCAGAAAGTAACGGTAAAGTGAGTCTGTAGAGTAGATGGCCTTCCCAGTCCTAGAAGGGGCTTTTAACATGGAAAACCTCAAGAAAGTACAGAAAAGAGAAGTGACATAATCTGACATACTGTAATAGGACCATATTGACCACTATGTCATAAATATACCATGAGGTAGCAAAGGCAGAGACAGGGAGAAGAATTTAGAAACCAGAGAAATAACTAAGGAAAAGAAGTTCTCTGCTTAGATCACAATAACAGCAAGAAAGGAAGTACTGAGACTCTGAATATGTCAAAAAGAGAAAACTGACAGAAACTGATTACAGACTGGCTGCAGGTTCGGGCTAACTACCAAGTTTTGTCCTAAGCCAAAAGAATGGACGCAATTTACTAAATTAGAAAAACTGAGCTTGGGTACTTGAAAGGTTAACAAAATGAATAAGAAAACTGGAAGCAGTGGCACACTCCTTTAATCTCAGCACTTCAGAAGCTACTACAGCCTAGTCTACATGGTGAGATCCAGGCCAGCCAGGGCTACATAGAGAGATATCCTGTCTCAAAAAAAAAAAAAAAAAAAAAAAGAAAGGAAAAGAAAAGAAAGGAAGGAAGGAAGGGAAGGAGGGAGGGGAGGAAGAAGAAAAGAAGAAATGATTCTGAGCTGTGTGTAGTGCTGCAGACCTGTAACCCTGGCTCTTAGGACGACTAAGACAGTCTAAGGTATGCTACAGTAACAATGCCTTGAAGATCCTGCTTCAAGAAAAAAACAAATACATATGGAGGAACCAGCACAATAAATCTGAGAAACAGTCACCAAGAGATAAGGAAAACTACCAAAGTGAAGTATCTCAGAAGTCAAGTCTGGAAAGTGTCTCAAAGAAAGGGCACAATCAACTACAGCAAACACAGCTGGGATGTCAAGGCAGACTGCTCTTCAGTTAACTGATCGAGTCAGCAACACAAGAACAATCACCAGCTTGAAGAAAGCACATCCAGAGGAGTAATGGCAAGAAAGCTACGCGCTAAGCCTCAATTTCTTATCTGTGATTTAAATAATACACTATCACCTCACAGATCTACAATAATTTTTTATATCACACTACAAAATTAAGGTGCTTTGTTTTCATTACACAATTTTTTTAAAAAAAAGGTTAAGTCAGCAAATTAAAATTCTTACTTTATCAAAAGTTGAAGCGGTGGTCCGTTTTTTCTGATATTCTTTCCCACAGGATTCTTTGGTAGACATCTTGAAAAACTAAAAAAACATTCAAAGAACTTTTTTTTTACCACAATAAAAAGTATATCACAAGCCAGTCTTCATTTAAAGTTTTACAAAATAATTTTCATTTTCTTGCCACATCCAGCACAGCAAAAGCTAAAACTTGGAGTTCCTAGGAAAGAGCAATGACCTCAAGAGACTCACAGGGACTCTGAGTTTCCTTCACTAAGCAAAGAGAAGTTAATTTTACAGGGAGTGCCCTGCTATCTAGAGCTGTAGAGCTGTAGGGCTCAGGGATTCCAAAAGACATACTTCCCCCCCAAAACACACATAAGGGCATTTTCCTTCTGGCTATCAGATTGCCCTACAGTTTTCCAAAGACACCTGAACTCCAAGGGAAGGATTATCTGAATCACAAACTGCCCTTGAATCTAGGTTCTCCCTTGATGGAAGCTTGAAAAGCTCTCTGCAAAACAACAATTTCTAATTATCCTCAAGATACAGTTCTCTCACTGTTTCTCAATACTTAGTTGCATTCTCTTGCCTAAAGATCTGCTTCTTCAGCTTCATCAGTCAACTTTTCAGGAATGGTCCTCAAGACACTCTGCCTTCACCCTTAAGCATCTGATCACCATTTCTGGCTGCCTAAAAGACTGTTTATTTTGCCCTATCAACACCTGGAAACAGATTAATTCTTCACTTCTCAGCAAACTGTCACTCACTGTATGATACTTCAAAGAAACTGCATATATTTTTCTAAGCCCCAGTTTCATCTTATGTAAAACAGGGACAACTTATCCTAGAACATTTTTTTAAGGAGCCAAAGAGCACAATAGATATGAAAACTACTTTGAGACTGGTGAGATGGTTCAGTTGGTTGTCTTCTGGAGATGGACCTAAAGGTGCTTCTCGTCATGTTAAAAACATCTGTTTAATGTGTATATCTGACCCAAAGCCATAGCCTTTACTATAGTATTCTTAATATCTGCCATTTCTGGGGTAGACTTTGACACAGGAATATCTTAAACCTATTCCTTCTAGTTACTTTATAAAGAAAAATCCAAGCATCCAGGGTTTAGCACTAAAGCCAGTAAGGTATTTCTGCCTAACTTTCCAGTGTGAACATGAAGCTGGGGGCTAAAAGTAGATGCTGAGTGTATGAAAAATGGCCAAGCTCCATTTGTGGCTGATTATCAACAGCTATGCCCACAGAAGAAATGTTACCATGGACACATTTAAGTTGTTTATAAAGGTTATAAAACAAACAGCTAACTGATACTCATTCAGTGGGATGCAGTTTTATCTGTTACTCTCAAAATGTTATATTCGATTTACTGATGTTACTTTTCTGAGTTTTTTTTTTTTTTAATATATTTCCTTTTGTGTGCCAAAAAAAAAAAAAAAAAATTCATATGAGTTTCAGGATGTGACCTGGATCTGGCATAGCGCAAAAGGATCGCAGATGAGATTTTCCCTGGTCTTTGCCATTTAATAGACAAATTTTAACTTCTGTCTCCAGTCTGAATTTGTCTCAGGAGATTTTCACCTGTTTGACTCTGTTCCGGGATCAGCTATGGACTGTAAGCTGAAATCTGGACTTCCTGGAAACTGACATGATTGCTTCCTGCCTCTTCGGGTGGATCAACTAACTAGATGCTTGGGATTGCCCCACTGCCCAGCCTTTGACTGGCATTTCAGCCTCCCTAGCCCCTGATGCCAACGGTCCAATTGTCAGCACTGAAGAAGCTCCAGAAGATGGATCTCCGGCCCCAAATCCCAAATTGGCTTAGAAATACTAAATATGATTAATTTCTCCTAAGATAATTCTGAAGCA